CGCAGCCAGCAGGCGAAATGCCTGTGAAATTGTGCTGAAAGAAATGCACAGAATGCGCGCAGAAGGAGATGAATCACAGCTCAAGGCAATTCAGGCCGCCAGCCTGGCTAAGCAAATACAATTGCATAAGTCCTGCCTTTGTCTGCGGCACACATACGTGTGTATAAATATATACACAAGTATAGAGTTGTGTGTTTATCATATGTGCGCTTGATTAGCGCTGACAACATATGCAGGCAGGCAGGCAGCCAGTCAGGCAGGCGAGCAGGCAGCAGGAATCGTGCAGCCAGGCAGGCTGACAGGCAGGAAACTAGCCTGGCCACAAAGGACTACACAGCACAAACTGTTGACAAACAAACAAGTGCTCATTTTTATTTCTATATATATATTTTTTTGTTTTGTTTCTCCTTGCTTTTCTTGTTGTTTCTTTTGATGCCAAGCTGCATATTTTCTTTGGGTACACTGGCACAACAAATACAAGTACAAGCTGAGCTGCTGCTGCTGCTTGTGGCATGTTGCATCGGGGCAAAACAAAAGGCCAACTGCATTAAAGCAGTTCTAAAAGGATTTGTTGCCAGAAATATGTGCAGCTTGCATTGCTTAAGAAACATTTACTTACACAGATTATGCAAATAGCAAATAGCAAATAGCAAACAGGGACGACGAATAACGGACAACGGACAATGGACAGCGGACAACAGCCAAAAGAGCAATTTAAATGCAAAAGAACATCTGACAAATAAACAATTTTGACCCGAAATTAAGCAAAGAGACTGATTATTGGCTTGATTTGGCATTGTTGTGGCCTCGAATACAAACATTAGCTGCATAATAGCATTAGCTGCTTGCTAGACGTCTCTTTAGCTATATTAAATCCGACTCTACTTTTCAGCTTTGCCCTCACTCCGTTTCAACTTTCCAGCTTCGTGAAGCTTAGTTACAGCGCTTGCTCTTTGCCTTGGCTCCAAGTCAAGTATTAAGGTAGCATTATCTAGCCTTAGACGTTCTTTTCATGATTCACGTAATTAAAGCAAACTTTTTATAATCTCGCTTGCCAACTTCTTATTTAATAAGAGGCTAAAGTGGTTTTACCGAAACGAGTGAAACGACTAGAATGAAAATGAAAATGAAAAAGAAAGCAACAAAAGTAAGCAGTGTTGGTCTATATACCATATATCAATAAATGTATACGTTCTTTATTCTTAAAAACATGTATTTATTCATAGAATATCTTAGTAAATTTAAGACGAGTAAAATTAATGGAATGAAATGTGTAAAGTTCAAGCTAATTCTTAATTTTAAATAAAATAGTAATAATAAAAATAAAATAAAATTGTCGATGGGATTTATTTCTCACACTTTTTGCAATTCACAATGCAATCCTGAATCAGCAGACTTTGACAAAGCTTATTATTATTTTTTCATATATATATAAATAAGTAAATAAAAATAATAATATATGTACTTATTTATAAATGAGCGCTTTGATCTCTCAGCTTGAGGCATAAAAGTGAGTTCAGCAATACCAAATCAAATATTTATACCTTTTCCGATGGCTAAAATGAAAATGCTTAAAATGAAAAGCCAATCTCAATTTATTTAATCTATGAATATTCTTTAAACATTTAAAACCACATAACTAAGTGAGTTTTAAAGGTATCCTAGGGTATTCGCCAGTCGGCTACTTCCACCCCGAACCGTCTTCAAGCTCACTTTGCTGCTTTCTCTTTTATTCTTGTGAACTCAATTGCAAGCAGCAGCCTAGGCTGCCCTCTTTGATAATATATCAAAACCGAAAATTTCATATGCTAAATAAATAGCTCTCAGCTGCCTCGTGGCGCTGGCCCAAAGGGGATGGGGCCGATTGAGGGGAGGGCTGGCATTGCGGGTTGCTCCACAATTTCTCAGAGGCCAAAGTGGAACTACTTGTAATTAATCTATTTCAGTTTCAGTCGCATGCTTTGCCATTTCGACCTACATTA